AGCACGCATGCGCGACGAAGAAGAAGCCGCTATACAATGGAGCTGGCGTGGTCTGCTGTGATCGACCATCCTTTACTTTGCAAGGAGGAATGAATTGCTCATCACCAACAATAATATCAGACCACTGAGAACCCAAAGGGCAATGAGCGTGACCAAACTCCATTGGTCCAGAGTGTCAAATATGACAGTGTCGCTGACACACCATGCACTCGCAGCATCAGCACTTGCATGAGGGGCGCTCTCGCGAATACAACTAGTAAGGATATCCGCATTGAGTCCTCTCGTGCCGCGACGGAGCCAGCTTGCGAAGACATCACCAACCTTAGTCACAGTACAACTGATCTCGGTGCACACCAGAGTGCCACTTTCGAATGCACACGAGCCACCGTTGCATTGAGCTTGCTCATAGAGACCAAGGTAGAATGATCGCACGAAGCGGTAGGCAGTTGCCTCCTGACCAGTCACATCGAGTAGTTGTTGACTATTAGAGCTACTGAGAGAATCGATAGCCCTACCATAGACGGTAACTACGATGGAGACTATGAGGACTACAGCCAGGATGAAGCCGGCAGAAGTTAAGTAGCATAGGAAAAGACATCGGTTGTATTTGTATGTAGCTGAGCACCCGATGAAGCCGACAATAAGCAGTCCCACTCCAACGAAGAGTGAGACCCATAGGGGCCACACGTGGAGCAGTTGACCGCCATAGGTAACGAATAGGTACACAGAGGCAGCCACAAGCAAACCACCCAGTATAAAGATGATAGTTAGGACCAGGTAGTTGAGGAGATCCGAGGACGCTTTGCAGCAGCTGGCCATTGAGTCTGAAAAGGAGCACCTGGCCAACGACCCCTCGAACACTCAATATTAACCAATTCAGCACTTAACCCTGCCGCTACGTGATCACTACAGCTTTATGCCGGCTGGATTACTACTACGTTGGTTTAACCGATTCTATTGAGGATGAATAATACAAGAATCATTTTCACAGTGTTTTCATTCCTGAGAGATATCAGTGGTGAATCACGCTAGACACATTCACATGGTTGCAGTCTTTGAAAATCTATGAGCAACTGGAGTTCCTCCGCTGTGACCGACACTTCGAATCATGTGCGCTCTCCATTAAATCATCTCCATGAAAACAGTAGTCAGAGAAGTCGGCACCACCAGGATGATGAGAAGACCCGCCAGCTCGAGGATTCCAGGAGACCACAACCGCGTAGAGCGGGACACTGACCGACGAGGCCCACACCCCAGAAACGTCAGCATCATAAATAGCCGGAGCATGCAGCGGCGGCAACTCATCGAAGTCACATAACCAGGAGCAATGCATCGACGTCGCCATGCTAGGTTCTCTGAACCTGGTGAACTCTACCTCCCCAGAGTGTTGTTTCCTTGTCCCACTCGCTCCAGGATAGGGATGATGAGCTTTCGTCTTTTACGGCGTTCACAACCCTCAGCCTACGGAGCTCGTTTGCTTGCATCGCTTCCCCACCAACTGGAAGCAGTAGTGACGTGGCCTCGCCATTGTGACCAAGGTAAGAGAGCTGATACCATAACATCGTTACAGTGACAACACGATACAGTAGAAAGCACGCAGATGGAAACGAAGGGCGCAGCTTTAAATAGGACACTGGTCTCATCAAACAGTAATCCCTTGAAGTAATCAGGGCTAATGGTATAGCGGGCGCATAGGGTCAACGACCATGTCCCTCAAGGCGTCTTGGAAGTGCCTCAGCCAGTTGGCGAGGTCCTCTCGAGTGTAGTCCGGCTGACGGCATTTGAATCTCAGAGCCCAGGAACATCGACTTGTCTGG